ACAAACTTGCCCAATTATGTGAAAATAAAGTTCTCATGAATAAAAAGTGATTTAAAGTATAATCACTTTCTCAATAAAATTTAATGCCTATTTTTTTTTTTATAAGAAAAAAAACCACCAAAGAAAAAATTTGCATCTTGCTAAAAAATTTCACTTATAAGGTATTTGTCACAACAAACCTGACTTAATTTCACGAAGTCCACATCATTTCCTGTAGAAAACTTCATCATTTTATATTTCTTTTTCTGACCTCTGAAATGATATTACAGTGTATTGTATTTCAATGTTCTCTTTCAAAATATAAACTACATGCACTTCTCTTGAAAAAAATATAGAAATCAGTCTCTTGTCTCTAAAATTCTTTTGGTCTTAAGTTAGAAATTTTAAAAAAAATGAGCACTAAGATTGATAAAATTTCCTCTCTAACTTTTTTTGGTTAAAATTAGATGGCAATGACTATCAATGTTAGATTTCCAAAATATTCGACATTTCTCTTATTTAGCTTTAGAAATACAGAAGCACTCTACAATCTGAGTTTCTTTGAACATTTTGTTCTTCAACAGCTTTTTAAAAGATTCTACTATTTTTTTGACATGAAAAATAAGCACAGGTACAACAAATTTATTTTAGAGATATGAAAATAATCACTTACTTTGGTACTCGAACAACAAATTCTTGTGTTGTGACGTTAGATGACCCAGGCTAAAAAAAACATAAATTAAACTTGAAATTGAATAATAAGGAGTTTTTTAAGTAAACTCAATGAAAATACTATGGACAAACATGACAAATGCGAATTGATACCCTAAACTTAGTATAGTATTTCATACCCTATATTTAGCATGTTTAGTATACTACATAAATTGTGCAGTAAATATGTTTAAAATCAAATACATGTACATTGGATACATTTATAATATTGCAATGCACACTCATATACATGATAACGATTGAGAAATTTGTCATATTTAGTAATAATGTACATTAAATATTGTACAAGCAATCTGTATAGAACAAAAAGCAAAAGTGACATAAAAAAATTAATTTAATTTCAACAAGTACTCAACTATCACTCCACTAAAGCATCTGACTATTCGGTTAATTAAGCTACACAAGTAAATTTGACACCCCTTGTTTTTACAGTGTGAAAATATCAAAATTATATTTTTTCAGTAATTATATATAATTTATCTATGATGTGTAATAGGAGAGGAGAAAAATGCAGCAGACCAGATCTAATTAGAATAATCAAACTGTGTCTCGAGACAAGACCTCACCACAGTTAGAATATGTCCCATATACCTGCAATGTAACAAATCGAAGCAGATCCGCCCCAAAACGATTTTGATGAATACGAAAGGGGTTGCACTGAAAATTACTACCAAATTAATCAAATCAAACCTTTTTGAGATTGTATATGCCTTTTATCCCAAAAATAATCAATAAAAAGACGAAAAATCTACCTGCCATGTTTAATTCAGAACTCTCTAGATTATTTATGGTAAATGCACTGAGTAGGAGTTATCGCCCAAGTTTTTTTGCTACACTACGAATACACGGAATGAATTCTATCATTAAACCGGGTCTGTAGGACAATATCATTTTAATGATAGAACGTTCTATCTAGATCAGATCGTGATTTGAATCCCCCTCCCCCCATCATCTCAAGCCATAGTCTGGAATCCACATATAGCTCTCTCCTACACATGGCTGCTTGATCACAAAAAGTGTCGTAATCTTGAACATTTAAGCCTCTCTATTTTAACGTCATATTCAGTCAATGACAAGTTTTGTTTCCATCGTAATTGAAATCAACAATTTACATCAGCAGTATACAAGAAATATTTCGTACACTGCGATTGGGTATTGAAAGGTCACATCAAAGTTCACTATCTGACTTAGATAGAACGTTCTATCGTTAAAATGATATTGTCCTACGGACCCGGTTTAACGATAGAATTCGTTCCATGTATTCGTAATGTAGCAAAAGAAACACAGACGATAACTCGTACTCAGTGATTTACTACGCACAATCTAGAAAGTTCCGAATGTAAACATGGCAGGTAAATTTGAAGTGAGAGAAAAACGTTGAGAATTAATTAATTGCATTTTCGTATTTATATGGATTATTTTTTGGGATAAAAGGCATAAGCAATCTCAAAAAGGTTTGTTTTGATTAATTTGGTAGTTATTTCCAGTGCAAATCCTTTTATATTCTTCAAAATCATTTCGGAGCGGATCCGCTCTGATTTGCTACATTGCAAGTATATGGGACGTAATCTAACTGTGGTGAGGGCTTGTACCAAGACACAGTTTGATTATTCTAACTATATCTGACTATGCTTTACTCGCATTGGTTGATATTTTAATGAACTACAAGATATTCTCTCCTCATTCAACAACGGCCAGAATGGGAGAGGATTGTAAATTTTGGCCGTGGTTTGCAACGATGCCTCCCCCAACCTCCCGAATTTCGGTCAGGTGCTCTACAAACTTAGCTATAGACTAGAATTAAAACTTTTTTAAATGAGCCAAAGTGAGGAGCCATACCTGCATGTATGTAATGTATGTACATGTACTACAAGTTTCTGTAAGATTTGGAGCTCTGTTCAGCTGTTATGCCCTTTACGGCTTTGAAGCTTAAGATTCTTTACCAGGTCTGTTTGGTAACAAATTAGACTGAAGAAAAAAATCCATTGTGATTTTACCTGGCCTGGTGTCGTGGCCATTCTACGTTCCTACAGCTGCTATTCATAAACTGACACTCGTAGTATCAGGTATGGAACTGTACAGGATTAAACGAAAGTGGAAACACTAGTTCAAAAAGTTTCGTATAAATTATTGTTATTAAAATCAAATTAACTGTTGTTTTAAAAAGTAATTTTTAAACATGTTGCAAAAATGTATGTCATTTCGTTCTATTAATATTTTCACTATTCCCTACAATTTTATATAAATACGAAACTAAATACTTGTATTAGACAATGCGTGATCAAAAGATTCGACAAATGATCCTCTTTTGAAGCCCTCGTAAACGAAGTTTCGTTGTGTAAAAGTGGGTCAAACTGAAAGGTCAACTTCAAAAAGTAAAAAATTTGATGGTACCCAAAGAAAGGTCTTGTCACAAGATCGCATACATATATAGCTCCACTAAATCAGTTATGGGCAAGGTTTAAGTTTTTGCGGAAAACAGAGAGACAGACAGACAGAGAGACAGATAGGCCGACAGACGGACGAACACAACAAACATTCCGAACTTTTACTTTGGCCATATCTTTTGAACAATAGATACCACGACTTTTGTACTTCATATATGTATTTGTTGTGACAAGTCCTTCATAGGCGTCGGAAGCAATTTGAAAGGGGGGGGGGCTAAACCAACAAAAAAAAAGTGAACCCCAATTTTCAATGCCTATATTTTTATGTCTATCTTTGCCAAAAAAGAGGGGGGGAGCCCCCGCCCCCTCCCGGTTCCGACGCCCATGGTCCTTTCACTGGATACCAACAACTTTAACCTTGACCTTGGCGATTTCCGTACTTATGAAAAAAAAACTTTAACTTGGCCATAACTTTGGAATGGTAAGGGCTAGTGCTTTCATACTTCACATAATCTTTGTGAGAAGACCCTTTCATTGGATACCAAGAACTTTGACCCTTTGACTTTAACCGTGGAGTTTGATTTTTTTTTTTTTTAAAAACAATCCTTGACCATAACTTTTGAAGGGTTTTGGCTAGTGTTTTAAATTCATACTTTTCATATTTAATCCTACCAAGAATTTTGACATTGACCTTGGAGTTTCTACTTTTTAAGGTCAGACGAGACGTTCCTCAATATAATAATAGTAGCAATAATTCAATGACAAAGTCTTTGAAAAATTTATCTATTATTAAGGAATGTCTCGTTTGTCCTTAAATTTTTTTTAACCTTGGCCATACCTTTTGAAAGGTTAGGGCTAGGGCTTCCATATTTCACATATTCTTTGTGGCAAGACACCAATTACCTTTGACCTTGACCTTAGAGATTTCTGTACCTATGAAAAAACTTTAACCTAGGCCTACTTTCATATTTCACAATTGTATTACCAGTGAGAATGCCCCACTTTGGGTACCAACTACCAATATATTAATTAAATTTGCATTTAAGAAAAAGTTTCATCTTCGCAATGTTGCCATACGTACGGGAGCATCAGTGTTTCACAAACACATCCTGTTTTAAACATGTACAAGTAACTGTAGTACTGCTTTTCTCCAATACTTTAAACTTCTCTAGAATTTCCAATGACATCAATATCTGGGATCAAGGGAGAGATTTTTCTCACATAAATTTAAATTAAGGAAAAAAAACTAGAGGTACTGTGAGTAACAAGCTCACTAAATGATACCCCAGCCTCCCAAATGAATATAATGGCACTGTCCATGTTTTGCTGGGATCCAAAAATAAAATTGCTCACAGTACCTAGCTCTAGTTTGTTTTGTTTTTGTTTTTTTTGTTTTTTATGATGGATTGTATTGCTTGACCTATATGGGTATATTATGCAATAATTAAAGAGGTAATTAATATTATCTTTTAAAAACGTTAACATTTTTTAATAATGTTTCCAATATCGTGTGGGGTTTCATTTGGGGGGGGGGGTGAATGTGCTTTCTAAATCGAAATTATGTGCACATTTAAAGGAACGCCGATCGATTTCATAACTACGTACTACAAACAAATACCCAGAAAAATACCAGTCCCGCTAGCTAGCATGATTACTCTGAACAGTGCATGATATGTCAAGGAACCTATATTTACCCCCACCCACCCCTTTCTTCAGATCAGAGTAACTGAAATTGCTGTCTTTAGTAGCCAGCTTCTTTAATGAATATATTTCAAAATGGATAAAAAGAAGCAATTTGGGGGGGGGGGGGGGGCACGAACCAGGGCAAATTGGCGTGAAGGACCAGGGATTCGTAGATTCGAAACTAATGGGTTGATATAGACGCTCAATGCAGGATTTCTCCTAGCTCTGTATGGTCATGCAATTTTGATTTTGAGAACGTTCTCACTGTTTTGAGGGCCACTGCTAGGCCTAGTTGACGCCTTCCAATGTAAGTTTTATTACTTTGCTATTAGGCTTAAGAGTAACAGAACTATTTTATTACAGCGTTGAACATCTACTACACGCAAATCTGACGCGTTTGTAAAGTGCCAAGTATTGCCTACACTTTTGGAAAGTTTGGTGTGTACATGCACAGACCTCTAAATATCTATCAATAAGCCGTTATATGATTGATCAGAGTGATATATATATACCCCCTCATGTGTAGGTCCTATGTCGAAATATTCAAACTTTGAGAGGTTATACTACCATCACTAAAATAGTAGATTTACCTGTTTATGGTAAGTAAAAAATTCCACTCCTCGGACGGACCGAATCAGAGCACAGACACCTGACGAATGGATAATGTACCCCCATGTCTAATAAAATTCTCAGAAGCTGGTGGGGTGGGGATGAGTTTACACCATCCATTCGTCAAGTGCCTGTGAACCAGAGAGCTACAAGCTTTCAACAGACCACCGGCAACTGAATTTTTATCAGTCAGTCACTCAATATGCCAAATATTGGAAAAAATTCTACCCCCTCTATATATAAATACACAAGGTGTGCAACGCCATTTTTACCCCCTGCTCGATTCAGGCTTCAATTTAACACATAAATCAGATAAACCTACCCGAGCTGAAGGCTCAAGTGAGCTTTTCTGATGACATATTTTGTCTGACTAGCTGTCCGTCCAACTGTAAACCTTTTCACATTTCTGACTTCTTCACCAGAACTACCTGGCCAGTTTTAGCCAAACTTGCCACAAAGCATCCTTGGGTAAAGGGGATTCAAGTTTGTTCAAATGAAAGGCCACTCTCTCATTCAAGGGGAGATAATTCAGTAATACTGAAAATTTTGTAGCATGGTTTAAAAAAATCTTCTTCTTAAGAACCACTGTACCAGGATTTCAAGATGAAACTTATGAGGAAACATCGATCCTCAGGTAGTGTAGATTTAAATTTGTTCAAATCATGACCCCCTGGGGTAGGACGGGGCCACAATGAACTATTACATAGAAATATATAGGAAAATTCTTTAGAAATCTTTTTCTCAAGAATAGTAAAGCCATGATTGATCATATTTATATGGAAGCATTCTCAGGTAATGTTGATTCAAGTTTGTTCAAATCATGACCCCTGGGGTAGGACAGGTCCACAATGGATAAGCAAAGTTTTACATAAGAAATATATTAGAAGAAAAAAATTTCAAGAACAACAAAGCCATGCTTGGACACATCTATATGGAAGCATCTTCAGGAAGTGTTAATTTAGATTTGATGAGATGGTTTAGTTGGACGACAGGGAGGGGGGGTTAAATATAAAGGGCAATAAAGCCACAGGTAGTCAAAGAAATATCCAAGCATCCTAGTTAGTGTAGATTTATGTTTGTTCAAATCATACCCTCTCCCCTTTAAGGATTTGTTGGGACCACTTATGGGTTTAAACTATTCAATAATAAACTCTTTTTTTCCCAGCCACAGTGCTCAGGTGAGCAATGTGGCCCATGGGCCTCTTGTTTCTGATCTTGGTGCAGTGATGAATCATGATATTCAACCTGGAACTCTTTTGAAATTGATGCATGTAAAAATCACTCATCTTATTACGTTTCTTTGAGAGACGTTGTACCAAGTTTTGGGGCTATATAAAGTATTTAATTCTTATATGGGAGGCCAATTCTGGTCAACAAGATAATATAACAGCTAGACTGTGCCTTGGTTGACAATGGTTTTCTTGGAGTGATAATTCTCAATGTTACACTCAACAACATGCAATATCTATGTATTAAGATGACACTTTTTTCCTCTTCTATTTCTGCAACATTTCCCCCCTATAAACACCAGCTCCTGGCCTGGGAAAAAGTGGGTCTGGTAAATAAATGCAGGGCAGGACAAATAGAGACAGAGTTAAGCAGGGATTGTATCATGTGAATTTGAGGAATCAATGACGATGATCAATCGATTCGCCTTCAATGCTTTTGCAAATTATCACGCAAGCCACTGGATTGATCACATCATGAAGCCAAAATATCCTATGCTTATTCCTTAAATTATATTATAATGCCATAGGATGTTTATCCTGAGCAATAAATAAATTACAATTACAAAAAAAAATTACAATATTAATATAATCTGCTGTATGCATTTTTCCAGTGAAAGAGAGAAATGATTTAGTCATCTGTATTATCCTCCAAAATTGCTGGATATAAAGCTATTCCTCCAGTGCATTATAATTTTTTATATATGCAGGTAAAATTTTGGCTGGCTTGTCAAAATTTGCCCATCTTTCATAACTGAAGGCCACCTTGACCTGTTAATATTGCTTGGACTATACATACTACTGTTATTATGGTATTTGAAATTTGCCTGCAAAACAATGATATTTTCACTTGAGAGTTTATTGTGAGGATAATTAGCACTTCTGTCATGGTAAGATGATAAAGCTTGAGCAAAGAACTTTAAATTCACCTTTCAAGAGATTTAAAATTTAAAATTGTTAGACTATACTCTTGCCTTTTGTTTTATGCACACATTGTAATATGCCAGGCCTATATAGGTTGGTGCCCCTAGCATGAATTGATTAGACTAGATGTGAATCCATAAAGCAATCAATATTTGTGCTATATTGACAGGATGGCAGACCTGGGTGTGCTGAAGCCTACCTCAGGTAGTCAGGACTTTCTGTTTGATTTTTCCACCACCCTCCAACAGATGGTGGGGGATGTCCATTTCTACTCCACCTGCCAGGAGCCTGGGTGTGATGAGAACACCTTCTGTACACCTGACACTGTCGATCAGTGTCTAGCCTTCCTCAATCAGGTACGCATTGATTTTATAGGTAAATTTGTCAGTGATCAACAACAATATCATAATATTATCTGTGAAAGAGTTGTTATAAATGTCCACTACTTAAACACATTAAATGTAAAAGATAAACAAAACTACAAAGTCTGAATAGGAACAAAAGTTAGCTTTTATTGTGAAGGCAGAACAGTTTGATAAACTATAGACATTGTTATCTGATAACCAGGAAATGGTACAGGTAAATGACCCCGCTGTGATTTTAACAATTCCTGTACTATACAAACATTACATAACAAAGTGATGTACACAAACTGACAGATGGCCAGGTATTTATACATTGTGTGGGTGGAGGATGTATCACTGGTTCTATTTAATGATGGCAGTTCTGTTTGGTGCTGTAAAGGTATCTATGATTACAAAAATTTATCATCTGCCTCCGGTAGATAGAGCATTAAATGTCTGAGAATGGTAGAAAGTACATTGCAAATTTAAAATGTAAATGAACCTTTTAAATCTTTTTTCTTTTAATTTTACGCAATATGTATATGTAATGAAGTTTTCATTTTATTTTTAGACGGGGTCACGTGACCCCGTCTTTTAGTTTACTCTCAGAGGCCTAAAATAGAAAACGGAAGCCGTGGTGATAACAAATGAATTAAATCTACGCATACGAAAGAGTGCAGAAATTGTTTCGATCAAAACATAAACATTTTGTATCAAACTGAAGAAATTGATATGAACCTTTGTCTAACTCAACTAATAAAGTATTTTGATAATTTAAAACTGAAAATATTAACTGTAAATAACACTAGTAGACAAAGTACTATCCTGCGTATTATTATGACTGTGTACGCATCATCCATTGTTTACTTCCGGAAAAATTATTAGTTCGTACCTGATGAAATTCGGAGCAGTTCAGAAAGGTTTCCAGACTGAGCAATTATAAAAAATTTCTACTTCAAATCAAATTAAATGAAAAATGTGAATGTATATTATTCATAGTTTTATTTTTAGTATGTTAATGAAAAAATAAAGTTGTTATTAAAACTCGTAAAAAAAACAACACTTTTGTGAAATCTAGCATGAAGATTATTTTGACCCCGTCTTTCAGTACTGTCTCAGTACTTTGATTTATTTCAATCATGCAAGTACTCAAATTCATAACTTTTGAAAAGATGCATGTCATAGTTTTAGATACATATAAGTTATCTCCTTTTTAAAGGAATTAGAAATACAAAAAAATCAAATTTAATTAAAATGCATTATAACTGTTAATTGTGATGTGTCCTTACAACTAAAAAGTCTTGCCCCAAAACATTGATTCTGATTATGTGGATTAAATTCATGCAAAAATAAATTTAGTTTAAAACATAGGTATAGTCACTGTGTTATATAAAACAAATAAAAAATGAAAGAATGATAAAAAGGATCCTCCAGTGTTTGAGGTTAATTGTTGTCATAGATATGATTTTTATTAGGGATGAATATCACAAAAAATTTCGTATCGCGATATATCACGATTTTTTTCCAAAATATCACGATAAAATCATGATATTTTTACAAGAAATTTTTACATAGATTTTTAATGAATTGTCATTATTTTTCTTTAAAATATTCTAGAAAAACAAAATTTCACTTTTTTGAAATTTTTATGTACATAAAATAAATCATGTTTAGATGGTAAGATGCCGTTCTTTTCACCTTTTTCAACATTCTTTTAGACTTTCTATAATTATAGTAATTTGAAAGATTGAACAAATAAATGAATTCTTTCTGTACTTTATAATATGTACGTAAATACCAGTATTTTGGTGTCTGTATCACAATACGTATCACACAACAAAAAATCGCGATGTACCGGTATATCGATAAAATCGCACATCCCTAATTTTTATGCAACCATTAACCGCTACATGTACTGACTTACTGGACAAAACAGAGAACCTTAGGGAACTCAATAGACATGAGCTCCCTGGCAACTTATTTCGTGAATTGAAAAAAAAATTATGCCTAATTGAATTGATAATTACTTTTTTTAAAAATTCTACTCTGCCTATTAAATCAATAATGAATTTATTTTAGTAATGTTTTACCTTGAAAATATTTGAAAAGTATAACAAAAAAGATGGTGAAATATATTTCATGTCATTCCAATCTTGATTGAATTTCTATATTATTGTTTATTGAAATAAAAGTTTTTATTTGATCACATTATTTTCCAATCCTTTTTCACATTATTATCTTAATACCTGAGCTGAAAGTTCAAGTGAGCTTTTCTGATCATCCGTTGTCCGTCGTCCATCCATCTGTCTGTCAGTCTAGCTCTCCGTCTGTAAACTTTTCATATTTTCAACTTCATCTCAAGAACCAGTGGGCCAATTTTAAGCAAACTCAGTAGAAAGCCTTTTTGGGTGAAGGAGAGTTTAAATCATTAAAATGAAAGGCAAAGTTCCCTTACATGGGGAGATATTCAAGAAAAGACAAAAAAGGGTGGGGTCATTAAAATAACTTCACAAGAACCACTGAGCCAGAAAAGCTGAAACTTATGTTGAAGCATCCTCACCATGTATATCCCAACATGCGGGGTGTATGCTATGTTGTGCGCGGGGTGTATGCTTCCGAAGCGAGAGAAAGGGGGTCAATGTACGTTCTTTGTCCATTTTCTCAACTTACGGATATTTTTCGCCAGAAAGCATATGCCTACGGAAGAAAGCATTATCTAAGGAGTATATGGATACCTATGAATCCACTGGACACCTTCTAGTTTCATCAAACACCTCAACACAATTCCGAGGATCGTAGCAAGATTGACGCAACACTGTGTTTATGATCGAATATCAGAACAAATCTTTGCTTTATTGTCACTTTTATATTATTGTTAAATACATGTTTACAATATAAACGTTTGTACAAATTGTCTGTAAATAAAACAGTTCGTATATAAAGATATTGACGAAAAATCAATGTTGTGTCCGGGGTGTATGCAACATGTACGCGGGGTGTATACACCCCATGTTTTTCTTAGGATTGTTGTGCGAAGTATCAATGGAAATTTTATTTACACAGGTTTAAAAGCGACAAATAGTGTTGATAAAAGACCTTACTACGAATGCCGAACCAAAAAGTAATTTCCATAATGTACTGAAGTAAAAAACAAAATAACTAAATTTAAAAAAAATTAAAAACAAACTATCATATTCAAGGATAAAAGACGCTAGATATGCAAGGAGCGATTGTTATCTACATTGTAGATGGCGCAATGGTCTAAAAAATCTCTCCAAAGCCCCCCCCCCCTTCTCCAATCCCTGCATTGAAGACACTTTGGCCTTTCTTCGGCTCGTTTTAATCTAAATATCTGGCTTGTTAAAAATAATAAAACACTACATGAATGGTGTATTATGGATAAATCTTTTTATTTTTGTTTCTGCAACATTTATGTTATCAATACATGTATTTTCAAGCATTTATGACAGTGATGTAGAATCTTTTTTGAAGGGGGGATACCCGAAAAAAAAACCCTTTAGATAAGTGGACTAGCTATAAAAAAGGGGGGAGGGTTTATCAAACTCAAAACTCCTAGATCAGATGGGGTTGTTGGTCCCGTCTTTTTTCAGTACCAATTCTCTCTTTGCATTGTATGGCTATGCTGCAACAAAAAATAGGGGACAACCTGACTTTCGATGAACATTTTCTGTAGTGAAAAGTTGTGTCTGGAACGAAAAGGGGGGGGGGGGGTGATATTACGTGTCTGTATGATATATTAATTTTCCTTTCAATTTTTGCAATATTTGGACTCATTTTCCCTTATCTGATAAGATTTCGTATTTTACAAATTACAATAAACATAAAGCCGGCTATAAAAATGCACATTTGTAATAAGGGACGACAATTTTCTGAGGGCATGCACAATTGAAAAAAAAACTGTTTTTGGTACAATTACATTTTCACGTTGACGTGTAATTAATATCAATGAATGTCCACTCCCCCTTTATTTTATTATTGTATATACACGTAGTAAATATACCCCCTCCCCCCCCCCCCCCCCCCAAAAAAATGACCTAAGACACAAAAACAGCCTCTTCCGGCCCATTCCTAGAAAATATGTACTCAGTACAATACAATGCCTCAATATTACACAAATAGTTTACTGCCAAATATGGGCTTATGGGGCCAAAGTACACAACGTAAACTATTACGTATTACTATTACGCATACTACATGAAGGAGAATAATTTTATTTTTGGTGTTGAAGACATTACAAAAATCTAAATATTTTAAAACTCACTTAAAATATATTGAAAAAAAGTTAAACAGAAATTATGAGGAAATGTTAAAAATGATGCATGTGTGAAGCATTTATTAAGGAAGGATCTGAATAAGGTGCCTTTAAATCGAAAGAAGGGATGAATTGTTGGTTATCACATTAAACAGTTAAACAAAGTACCCTGTACATTTACTTCCATATGCACGTAAAGCCAAAAGTACGACGAACGTATTATTTCCAGTAAATCGAATTCATGAACCTGAAGTTGTGCTATTACAAAACTGGTGAATAATTAAGAAAAAAAAAGAAATTTTATCACAAAAGTCAGTTGTTAAGAATTGTTTTAATTACATTTCAGACAATGATACTATAGAATAAAAAGAGGGGTATACACCCCGCGCACAACATGTTGCATACACCCCGGACACAACATTGATTTTTCGTCAATATCTTTATATACGAACTGTTTTATTTACAGACAATTTGTACAAACGTTTATATTGTAAACATGTATTTAACAATAATATAAAAATGACGATAAAGCAAAGCTTTGTTCTGATATTCGATCATAAACAGTGTTGCGTCAATCCTCGGAAATGTGTTGAGGTGTTTGATAAAACTATAAGGTGTCCACTGGAATCACAGGTATCCATATACTCCTTAGACAATGCTTTCTTCCGTAGGCATATGCTTTCTGGCGAAAAATATCCATAAGTTGAGAAAATGGACAAAGAACGTACATTGACCCCCT